TCGTGATGAGCTAAGAGGCACGACAACTGTCCTAACATTTTCTTCCTGTCTTTGTCCTTTGTTTCTTCTCTTGTGCTTCACCATTACAGTCCCTTAACGCGGAACCTCCTACATTAAACCTACAACAAATCAATGTTACACTGTCGAAACCAAAATCTGAAACCAAATCCCCGATGTGATGGACTTACAATAAAAACATATCTTGATTTCTCTTTCGTCCAAACCTTAAGGCCATGTTACTTTGTGTCATGAACCCCCCACCCTTCACCACCACGAGGGCCCTTGTGTGCATGTGAATTGTTCACGTGGGTCCCGTCCACCCTCCCTCCCTTAACGTCTTCATTCTGGGAGTGAATAAGTCCCCTGGGGCTAATGTGTGCTTTTGTGTGTGTGCTTTTGTGTGTGTGTGTGTGTGTGTGTGTGTGTGTGTGTGTGTGTGTGTGTGTGTGTGTGTGTGTGTGTGTGTGTGTGTGTGTGTGTGTGTGCTTTTGTGTGTGTGTGTGTGTGTGTGTGTGTGTGTGTGTGTGTGTGTTTAGATGTTACATTATTCTCCCCACTGACTTTCTATGGGATGGGAAATTGACCGTCCATCCAGCCGCCCCTTTCTCGCTGTCTTTAGAAAAGAGAAGGGCTGAAGGGGGACATGATGTACGGCAGGACAGCCTTCATATGACAAGTCTGTATACATACATGTTCACATGCATCTGTTACAGTTGCTTTGGCTCAATTTTCAAAACAATATGCAACATTTCTTAATTTGGCCTTGAAATGTCACCTAGCACACAATTGAAAGCATCTGTATGTGAACTGTTTGCAGGTTTATTACCACATTTTAACAATAAGATTTTCATAATTAAATTATTTTTGTAAGGAAGTAACTGATTCCCATACTGTAAATAATAAGTTTTCATTTTGTTAATCAAATATGTTGTATTATTGTTAATATGGTTAAAACAGTCTAGAGTTTACCTTTTCACAGTAAATCCTACATTAAAGGTGGGGTAGGTAAGTTTGAGAAACCGGCTTGAGATACACTTTTTGTTATATTCCATGGAATGCTCTTAACATCCCGATAGCAATGAATATCTTAAGTGCTTTGACAAAAAATCCATAAAAAAAATTCATCTGTGGAAGCCGTAGTACTGTAAAAAGCACGACCAATCATTTTAGCCGGACCAGCTAAAATAACTGGATGGCCTACCTGCCTGTCAGCCTTCCATCTGTGCACAAACTTATCTCGTGCCCTCATTGGTCATGTGTGCGTTTGTGTGTGTTGGAGGAGGGGCTCTGTAAGGAAGTGGCAGATTTCTTCCGGCTGTGTATTTTCAAATTCTAACGCACTCGAGCTGGTTTCTCCAAAATTACCTACCCCACCTTTAATACAGCAATATTATAGTTTTAACTGCATCAATTCATCTTCTCTGTTCTGATTCAACCCTAACATTTGGGTTTAAGAAATCAAGCAATTGACATTATAATAATTTGTAAGTTGGTGATCAATTGTATAATCAAATTGTAAAAATGTAAAGCAATTTTGTGAGTTATTTGGCAAGGCTACGCAAGAGGGTAATGTGAAACAAAGTGAAACTCTTGCAGGAATATATTTGAGCAAATACATATCTGTAGCCCCTTATGAAATCGAACTTCTCATGCAAAAGCTCTTTTTTGTGTCTCATTCTCAATCCCTGCACCACTGACTCTTCATACGTCCATGAACCTAATGACTTGTAAAATCTAGTCTCGGAGGATCTGAGTAACTGTTTTAGTCACAGCTCTAATTCCCAATGAGAGAAGCTGATTCATGGCTCGGACTCATTTAGACTCAGAGGGGTTTGCGGTTGGAGGAGCAGTCGCCTCTTCCTCTCGGTGAGCCCCAGACGGTTCTACCTGCAGCCGGCCCGAGCAAAACAAGGCTGGTCCTATAATTAAGTCTCGGGCTGATTGAATTAGAGCAGTCGCTACATTCATTTTGCTAAAGATGGTCCTCAGTTGCTTGGAGGGACTAATGGAAGAGATGGAGAGATATGTGGGAAACAATTAGACATGACATGATGTCTGTGCCAAATATTTTTCTTCTACATTTACCACACACTTGTCATATATCCCTTTGAAACCTACATCAATTCTTCTTCTTCTGCATCCCTCCCTCTCCTCCGATGTTTCAATTAGATGCCTTGCAATTACATTACAGGGGACATTACTTAAGAGGGACATAAATAGGGGCCCCGCCAATGTGATGGTGCCTCAGCCAGATGAGATATGAGCTGCCGTGTGTCACGATTTCTGGAGAAGAGACAATCTGATTAGGAAACCATGTTCGATGCTCTACATACATCCTGTTCAAATCACACATTTTTAACTGTTTCTGTACTTACAATAATACATTTAAAGCACCCCCTCAACTTAAAACACGAGTTAAAGATATTGTTCATTCATTTCGATGTTTGACCCTCACTGTGCCGAATGATGGATGTTTGGATCTGCTGACGTAGAACATTTTCTCTGCATATATAAGCAGGATTTTGTGACACCCAGATGTGGAATCCAATCACACCCCGGTATGCAACTTGCACAAGTATGATGTGGTAGCTTAAGGCCCCTTAAAGAAAGGAAAAAATGGGAGCAGGAGCGGTAGAGGTATATAGATTTTTTGTGTCTGCTAGTATGAGTCATTCTCCAAAATTGTAGGATACTTAAACTGTCTTAATGTGATTAAATAGTGTCTTTCATGAGCAGTCCCTGCCAGGTACATTTCCATTTTTCATACTGCATACGGCCAGTTTATATTGCAGGCATTATGCAACTGTTCTTATGATTAGTAAGCTGAGCGTCACGTCTTCAATTGGTGGAGTGCCCCTTTAAACTAAAACTACATTTTCTACTATGATATTGTAGGGAATGTTTATTGTTCTACTGTGTAGTCCTTAAATGAAAATGTTGTTGAGTTCATGGTAATATTTCAGGCATTGTTGCAATGGAATCTTTTTTTTTTATTATTTTTGTTGATGCTATTATGTTGACCTCATTTATGTAACGTGGTAGCCTAGTCTGATAGTTGAAATTAGCTAGATTTACCACAGGTGTTCAGGCTGGAAAAAGGGCAAATGTGGGTCTGAGTTAAATAAAAAATATTTCAGATTACAAATCAGCAGCCAGCAGTGTGATACCTGGACAGTCTCCTTGCTTCAAGTCCTCTCTCTGAAGGTAGCCTGACTCCAGCATGCTAGATGTATATCTGACTGCACGGTCGGCTCTTTAATCTCATCTCGTCATGTCCTCGTTGAGGAAAAGTGCTCGAATGGGATCTTGATTCCAAGAATTCCTTCTTATCTTCTGAGGATAGTCTGGGAATATAAAATAGACAGCTGTAGCAGATAAAAAGTTAGTGAAAGAAAAAAGGTTCATTTTCAGATTCCATCAGCCAGAGTTAAAGTCTGCTGGTTCTCCTTTCTGATATAAGTACATCATATAATAAACAATATTCCACCTGTCCAAGAATACCAAAACATATGTGCGAGAGGTTTGAAGGGGTAACTTTCATGGTCTTTAACCAGTTGAGTGACTCAACTTTAATTTAATAAATACGAAAGCAAAATGACATAATCTGGAGTTCTTACTGTTAAAATAAAGTAAATATTAGCTTTGGTAGAAGAAAAGACAAACAAAAAGGCCCAAAGAATTTGAACATGTAGAACAAAAGTGTTCACTGGCATTATCAATGACTGCTGGAAAGACATCATAGGACATTCTAAATATATCCAGTAGTTATACACGATTACATCTGTTTTGGTTCACATCCAAATGCTCTCTAGAAGAAAGTAAACGCCATCCCCCAACGTTCTCCCCCTCACCCGCAAAGCCTTGAATAAATGGATTGACTTTTGGACAAGCGACCGTTTTCCTTCATAATTGTTAATTATCATGAGTGCTCTCTGAGGCACTTTCTATGAATGGAGATGGGACACTCTCCCTTCCTCCACCCTCTGCTCTTTTTACGGGATTGCTCTTAGTTCTCAAGGACGTCACAAAGGACACCAGTGATGGAGGGAGGAGGTGCGGTGGATGGGTGGGGCACCTGCGTCATTCCTGCGCATCCGTTGGTGGATTTTATGGTAACGGGTGCCAGTAAGCTACAACCCTTCTAACCCCCCTGCCCAAGTCCATCTTTCCTGCCTTTCCTGCCCCACCCACCGCCGCATGGCTCCTCCCCGAGTCCCAGACGAGAGAGTACAGCACTTAAGATAATGTAAATAACCAGAGAGCAGAGCTATTTTAAGATGCCGTCTTTCACTGTGGCCGTGGAGAGGAACAAAGATGCAAGCCAAGCGATTGTAATTTCAGTCACGTTTTCGGACATGTTCTCATTGTCCGCCTACCATCCAGCTAGCTGAAGGGCCCGACAGACAAGAAGAGCTGGGGCCGCCTGCAAATGCAACCTTTTTCTAAAGAAATATGTTAACCTAAAAAATGCATATACATGTTTTACAATAACAGACAGATGAAAGTCTGAAGCTTGAGATACAATATTTTAAGCTTAACAATAAAATATGGAAAAATATATCCCTTTTAAACAAGGACCCTCTAACAGGGCCGTACAATAATTACAGACTAGGACAGCAAAATCTGATAATTGCTCTTTCTCTCAAGATAATTGTACCTTTAAAGTTAAGTTTAAAAACATACGACAATCCAACAGTAAAATGATTGGTTAAACACAAGTCAACATAGCTTTGTTCAAAGTCATCCCATGCCTCACATTCTCATCCACGATGTTTTTCATGTTTCAGCATCACCACCAATAAACAGCTAAGAAATATCATTTTAATTAATTAAAATGTTTAAATAATTTTAAAATAAATTAGATAACATAATGACTCCAGTATTCAGTGTTTGTCAGAAGAAGAAATGTGTCATACCAATTTTATCTTGCTCCAAAAGTAGAATTTATATATTTTCCTGAAATATTTTGTTCTTTTTTTATTGTTTCATCTTTTATGACATCAAAAATAAATAAACATTTAGACAGCATCCTTTCTATCTTATATGAACATTTTTAAACAGCATAATTTGTTATCTATGTATTATTCTCCATATTTATACAAACATACACTTCACAGTGAAAATATTCTGTACTGCTGAATATATACGTGAAGCAGGACCTGCCGCCACATTGTTTACAATAGCTACTGCTTGACTTTGCAAAATCACAAACAAAACATACACAAACAGCAGTAGAAGTTCACTACTCGATATATTGAGATCTTTTTGTAGAGGTTACATTCATATTCAAGTCTTTGTTCCGAGCCAGAGTCCTGTCAGAACTGTGGGAATTCAACTTTCTGTTTTTACGAGCTTCATTAAGGCAGCTTAATATAAGATCATTTTAAACACTAATTTACACTGATAGTTATGAATAAAATCTACACCTGACATTAAAGAGAATATCAGCTAATGCTTCAAGTCAACTACTCTTGCTACTTGTATATTTTCTACTTAGCTTAATACAATGATTGTTTCTTTCCTGATTCACAGTCATCATGTGTTTACCAGTTTTTGTGAATAAGCCTGTCAAAACTGTATCAAACTTAATGAGTTGAGGGTTTTTCTTACTTTTGTTTTCCTTTTCCTTTTTTCCTTCCACTCTCACAATCCTATTTTGAACAGGCGTTCAAACTATGTGTATGTGTTATTGCTTTTATTGATGTGGTACATACAGTAAACCCTCCACCTTCCAACTATGCTTGTGCCATCACTTGCTTCTTGTTAAATACTTGCCATTTCCTACCTCATCAAATATTGCACTACTTCTCCTCTGCAGAAACTGCATGCAGCATCTCTATCTGCACTCACGTCTCCTCCAGTTTGATCTGCTTTTTTCTTAGTGATAAATAAGGAAAAAATCATTTAAAATAAGACAGTTTTCTTTAAGTCGACCAATCAAAACGGATGCTGTACACCCTACTATCTAAGTACTATATGAGTGAATGCTTGATGTATTTCACAGAAAGAGAACTTCATGTCCTGACATTAGCAGGCTGCTACTTTATACATCCGCCATGTGGCTGGTATCACCACATGCTGGTTGTGGTACTTCTGTAGTCCCAAGGGCGGATGTTTGCTCGTCCTTTTTCTTTTTGGAAGGTCAGACAGAGTAACCAGTTCTCTGACAGTTCACTCTCAAGTTTTTTTCTTTTTTAAATAACATCCTGAGATTGTCATTATTCATCATGGTGGGAGGAATCAGGGCTGGACTCATCCTCCTCCTCCACTGTTTCAGCCGCCAGTGTGTCTCGCCGTTTGAAGGCCGCCGCCAAGGTCACGCTCAGCCGCGGTTTGACGGGCGCCATCTCCGACAGCCCAATGTTGTTTCCACGGGTCACAAGCGTCGTCTTATCCATAATCTCTCCACTGTGCTTGGACACCACTGCATCCAGGAAGTCGTATTTGTGTGAAATCTTGCCGCTCTCAAACAGGTACTTTGCCAGGTAGGAGACAGCAACGTTACCCAGAAAGGAGGCCAACATGGAGACGGTCTTAAAGGGGAACTTCTGGACAACCACATCCTCCATCTCTCCGGTCATGTGGTGTATCCTCTGCTCAGTGGTCCATCCAGGGTAATAAATGAAAGGGGGCATCCGCAGGTAGGGCTCACCTCCACCTATACGCAGCAGCATGCCGAACAGGTAGGCAGCCACAGAGCCGTACGTGTTGGTGCCTTTGACAAAGAGCACGCTGATCAGCTGGGGGAAGATGATGACGTAAACCAGATCTGAGCTCAGGTACCACAGCCCGTAAACTGTCCCGGTCACAAGCGCCATCAGTGTAGCAAGGCCACCGAATACAAAGATAGTGATGCGCATCACCCATACGATCTCACGGTCAGACGCCTAAGGAGGTAGAGAAGAATGAAGAAAGGATTGTGACATGTGCAGGACAGTCAAAGAAACATGGGTTCTGTATAAACTCTGACAGAAAACTTCAGATGACTTCAGGGCAAACACAGGTACTTACGGACTGTCTGAAAGCAAGTTGGTAGATGTTCCTGGCAAACATGGAGCTTGCTGAAAGGATGGATGAGTCTGCGGAGGACATGACAGCTGCAGACACTGCACCAAGTCCGAAGAAAGAGACGAATGGAGGGCAAAGATGTTGGAGCACGATGGGTAGAATCATGTCGGCTTGGTCCCTATCTTTAGGAGCGATGGCCCCATAACTCGTCTGGTTCCAGTCTGAGCAACAGAGAGATCACATGACATATCCAGTGTGCCTAGTATACATGTACTGTGACATAAATAAATATTAATCTCGCCTCCAGAGAAACCAACTTTTCCAATTTTTCGGAAATTCTATTAACTATTATGTAAAATACAATGTAAGCCTTAGATTACTCATCATATTGTAAAACATACAATTGCTACAAAACATGCACAACTATTAGCATTGCAATATTTATTTTTCACTTAGTTTCTATTTTTTTTTTTTTCAATGTTTATGCTCATGAAATCAGTTTTAGAATAGTATCAAACTCAAGTAAAAAACAATTGACTGGAAATACATATAAGCAAGGTTGAACTTGACCAAGACCTGTGTCATTTCGATTGTGTAATAATGTTTGCTTGTGATTATTAATTTCATGATAAAACGAGACAAAATAAAGTTGTATATCCTGGTGTTCACTGAGGAATCCTACGCCTGGAAATCTGGAGATCAAACCACTAATTTGGTCCCTTGCCTCCCTCTAATGTAATATGTACACAGCTAGTGTGGTTATTAAATGGCATCTTGCTTCATTATGGATGAGGTGCACCAGCTGCTATTTACCAGGCTCTTTTTAGATCTAAGGGCAACATGTACCCACCCAGAGCATCCCCCTCCCCAAAACAACCACAAACACAGACTGTGAGCTCTCTAACCTGTGGAGGCCCCAATGGCCCCGATGAGAACGGAGGGCACGGCCATGACCAGGCACCCGAAAGCAGCCAGGAAGGAGAGGACCTGGGCGTAGGTGGCCGAGGAGGCCGACAGGACCCTCTGGAAATACACCTGCCAGGGTATTCCTCCAAGCATCTGTAGCACATTTAAAGACCAGTGAATAACACTCGCATAACTTTAGTTCTCTTTTGGCTTTATAGCCCAAACTCACAAATGTGCCTCACTGGGACTTAGCCTTAGACTCTTAATCTGGAAAGTAAACACTTTGTAAAACACATTTAACAGGAGGGCATGAAATTCCTCTTCATAAGAACCCACTGATTTTGAAAAGAGCTGGAATATATTCCATTTTTAATGACTGATTCATTCTCTGACTGTCTACTCAACTTGATGGTATTTAGTTAGTTAGTTAATTAGTAAGCAGACCAATTATTGGTTATACAATTCAGAGGTGAATAACTGGTGACTGTACCAGGAGGCAGAAGTTGTCGATCCAGACCCAGGTGTCGTTCTTGCCGATGCTGCCTCTCCAAGGAGACTGGTACACCTGCTTCACCGCAGTAACGGTGATGTCTGACACCGCGGGGTTGGTCAAAGCAAAAGGGACACTGATCCACTGCAGACAACCAGAAACAAGCACAGCAATAAACACCAAATACCTATAAGCAAAATGGTAAAATAACTTCTGGAGAATTTGTCACAAATTCATTTTTGTCACACTTTGCACCTTTCATATGTGAAAATTAGTTAGAGTGTTTTAGCATTTTTAAGGTCAAGGTCAAAGTACATGTTGTGCAAGAAATGTAATACATCTACTCAAGAACCAAATCTAATGACACTATTGACAATCAATACTCTTACTACTGCTCAACATAAACGTACCAGGCCGATAAAGATACAGATGAGCTGCACCACGTCAGTATAGGCCACAGAGTAAAGTCCTCCAACCAGGGTGTAAAAGATTGCAATGAGAGCTGAGATAACCACTGACATCTTGATGTTGATGTCCACAATGACACTCAGAGTGGCACCTATGGTCATGAGCAAACAGGTATTATGGTCACTGCAACATCATATAGACAACACTCACTTTAATCATATGATCCCACAATAATCTTTTTTGTATTGTTGACAGAAACTTACCAAGGGCAGATAAGATGGCAGCAGACCAGAAGATCTCTCCCATGAGTGCAGGTATGAAGAGGAGTCCACCCATACGTTTCCCATATATCTGCTGGAAGGGGTCCAACATGGTGACGTAACCTCTTGAGCGCATGGGCTTAGCGAAAAAAAGGCCACCTGAGACAAAGAGTGGATACATTAGAAGGTACCAGCCATCCACAGGCCATAGGTCTAGATTAAACTGCCTCTTGTACTCAAGTTTGCCCTCATGTATATTCAAATGGCTTAATTTTGCACAGTTTCTTTTAATTCATCTGTTAAAATTGACAAAACTAATAATGAAACAAAAAAGAGGCTGATAATCTACAGTGAAAACCAGGTTTAGGATTTAACAAGGGGAGTTAGAGTTAGCCCTCTTATAAGGATGAATGGCACCAGTGACGGTTTTACAGTATAAGCACCTCAATAATTGCAATCAGGTATGTAGTCACTAGGTAAGTTTAAATGTATAAACGTAGAAACAACTAACAAAAATCTATTGTTATACGCCTGAACACAAGTAATATTAAGCATGTGTTTTATAGTGATTTAACAACTCACCCACAACAAGGCTGAGGGCATATCCAAAGGGAGCTTGTGCCCAAGCCAAGCCATAATCAGGTAGATACACATACTCAGCTGTGCCATTTATATATCCTCCTCCAACCCAGGTCGCTGGAAAATCGTACACAAGAAACATGTCAGTGGAGAAAACGCAGATTTAAAATAACATTTAACTTGACCATTTTAGTAGGAGTAGAGATATCTGAGAAGTTCTTACAAAATGTATGACAGAGTCTAACAGAGTTTAATTGCCATTTATTTAAGTAAAACAAAAATACTCAAACAATTCTGTTCAGCAAAAAACATCTGATTCTTTACGCGTACAAAAAAAGGAAAGAATAAACTTGTCTAGAGATTACAATGCAAATGTTATGTCAAGTCTTGGACCTTCTCAATATAACTATAATGACTGTATGTTATTGAATTACAGTTTCCAGATTTAGAAGAGGCCCATGAGTCTCTTTGCTAATTATCAATGGTCTTTGCAATTATCAGCAGATGTACCCACGTTAAGTCAAACTGACCCAATGTGAGAGGAAGTATAAAGAGGCTGATTAGATTCTAATCATCGTTATAGAGGTTCGTGTGTTAGTTAATGTAAAGAAAGTGTTTGCGTTCATGTGCAAACGTAGGATATGTGTTGTTAATGGGGAAATTCATATCCTGCAAGACTCCTAAAGACGTCATGAGATAATGACCTTTCGACATCTGGAACATACATGTTGCTCTGATGTTGGTGCGTCCATTTGGAAAACATGATGTTCGTGTGCTAGTTAAACATGGTTAGGGAAAATGTTCGTGTGTCATTTAGAAACCTATATAGACTGTGTGAAATTTCTACTTTGTTGGAGCATTACTATCACTGCTTGAGAGCAAAGGTAATGTTTTCCTCATTATTATTGATTGTTGTACAACGAAATAATAATTGATCAACTATATCTGTGTTTGTGTTTTATTGATTCCTCTGTTTCATTATTTCCTGTTGTGAGTGCTAAATTGCCACAACATAAACTTTAAAGCCTTTTTTAAAGAAACATCCCTAATAAAATCACAGTTTTATTGAGCATTACATACAAACTTTACCTGTCATGGTAAATCCACCGACAAATAATCCGATGTCTCTCCCTCCCACCATGATGGTCTCGCTGCGGTTGGTCCCCTCCGCCTCCCCGGAGTGTTTGTTCTTCCATGCCGCCCAGATGCCCACAACCAGGATCAGTAGATAGAAGATCGCGATAGCCACAAGCCCCTCTACATGGATGGTCATTGTCGCACCGGTATGCCGCTAGGAACGGGAGGGCATGGAGACCTGCTGCCACACGGATACAAAAGTATCATATGTAAATAAAATAATAATAAAAAAGAACAATAAATTGGGATTAAGCTTCTGCACCATTTTGAGTTTTCGGTTCGTTTAATATAAAGATACATTTTAGATTTTCAGCTGGTTGTAGTTGGATCAGATGTTCAAAACTGCATTGACTTGTTGAACGGGAATGCTGTAATAAAATAGCCACCACAAATGTTTAATTAGCTGATTTAATGGACTCAATGCGGTCGATTGGTCATGAAAGCTATATAAGCATGTCTCTCCAAACTCAGAACAGGTTATTTGCGTCGAATCTCCCTCTTCATTTTCAGAAAAGTAACGTGAAAATGTATAAAAAAACAAACCTGGCGGCTCTATTAATCTATTTATATTCCTTCAAACAAAGAAAAATGAAGTTAAAATACATTCCCTTTAATTCACACAAAATTATGCCTAAATGTTATTTCCTATATACATTTTTAAGAAAATAATCAAACAAATATGTGAACATTTTTGAAAATAATCGCAGTTTGTCTTCTAGCTGCGCATTTTGATCAAACCCTTTTTCTCTTTTCGTTGTTTGTCCTTCTATCCGGACACTTGCGCGTAAAATTCCAATTACGCACAGCATTCACGACTAAGATATAAACACCCTTGGTTCAAAACAGCCTTATCCAAATGATATTGTGGATAATGACCCTCAACATGAAGATCTGCACTTTGGTCCTGCTCAAATAAAAAATATATCATACTCTAAAATATGATAAACGCAGTCAAACAGTTTACCAAAGCTTAGAAAACACATGCAGAACTTACCTTAAGTATTTCTAAAGTCATGTGCTGGGGCACCTGAGTATGGAAAAAGAGAGCAGAACAGTTGGATGTTTTTAAGAGCCTTGTTTCCCCCTTTGCACCGCGAGGAACAGTGAAATGAAACGTTGGTGGAGGTCTCCGGGTGACTTACGAGGCTTATAAGGGGGCATGTGCCGTCAGCGGGCTGATACACACGTCAGAGGAACCAAACGTCGTTCTTATTAAGCACCTTGCATGGAAACACGTCAGAGTGTAGGCTACTGGCTGAGGACGTGGGAGAGATTCCTTCGCTCAATGTGGATTGTTGTTTGTTTTTTGTATTACTATTTTTGTACCTCTTAATAGCTTAATATGTATTTTATTATCACCGTTTTATTTTATTATCTTTATTGTACTACTTTGTGCTTGAAGTATATGCTTCCAGTGGCTCCTGTTCCTCCAGACCGGACGCGTAACGGCCCTAATTGCGCAGCCATACTTCATGTGGCCTTTTATCAGCTGTCACCATCTATACAGCTGGCATTTTACCTTACAACCGCAATTAAGTTTGCTCAACAGGAGCAGAGTATTGGTGCGAATGACGAACGCAAAAAGGTGCTTTAATGTAACGCTCATCAAGAATTGGATCTCACCCAGGCTTGTTAACCTCGAAACTTGGGCCCAAAGTGGAATAATTATTTGACTGAAATGCTCCCCATCTTTGAGCAATTAGAAACCATTTGGGTATGTATGCCTGCCACTTTCTCTTCTGGATATATCAAGCAACTGCGTCTACTTAATGGCTGCCTCTGCTTTAAATCGTTTAATCTCGGCTACTCTTGTTAAAACTGACAGACATCCAATTAGGATGGATCCTGAAGAGCTGCTGGAGAGATTTAATGATACAGTCTGACTTTAAAAGAAGAAGCTAAAACACACACACACACACACACACACACACACACACACACACACACACACACACACACACACACTATGAGGACGGTGTAAAGGAGTAGTTCTTTGCTAAAGAGGTCTGAGGTCTCAGCTCATAAAGGGAAAGACTGACGAGGTTATTTTTTGACCTGTAGAAACACACAGTGCCCCCTTGTGGCAACAAACCCGTTTGAGCACCAAGGACAGAGGCCAATATATTCTGTATTTGAAGGTTTACATTGTTGGACATCATTTAAATTGTGTTTAATTGTATCGGTTGATAGGACTGCATCGTGAAGTCTTGTGAGATGTGAAATATACGCTAATTATTTTTTGATAAATATTCATTCATTTCACATTGTAATCGTTCATTTGTGGGTCATTTCATTTTCTAATACATTTTTTATTTCTGAAGTTTTTTCTATTAATAACACTATGGGCCATATAACTTCTAATTCAATCTTTGATCAGTTTGCCACAAATAAAGTTAAGCAATCGCAATACTGTTAACTTGACTGTGATTAAGTTTGACATCTGATTCAGTCTGATACTGATGCCAAAATCTAAAACATCCGGAAGACAGCTGGACAGCTTTCTAACTGCATGTTTGACAGATGGCTGCCACATGAACTTGACACTTTCTCAAACCAAACACTGAGGCTGAGTATCTACTTGTTTGAGGCTTGATGATGCTAACTACACGGTTCCTTCTTTATTTTAACGGATTAACACAATGTGTCACTACAAATAATAAAAAATGGAATCAACTTGTACAACCGACAAATGTTTATGTTTAACCAAATACATTCTACAGGGCTGAGGACTCAATGTTTAATGAGCAGCTGTTGCTGGCACGCTCGAGATGTTCGTGAGAGAGGTACATAGAATGAGAGAGACAGAAAGCACGAGAAGATAGCATGAGTCATGTTTCCAAATCATGAACCAATATTCATTTTACACAGTATTTATTCTTAAAAATAAACACGTACAATGTTATCAACAACAAAGTTAATTTAGTAACAATCTATAACATATCTGATGCTAAAGTGAACTAGTGCTCACAGGGTCTTCGTTTTGAATTAGATGTCAGGAGAATATGAAACATGGTCTCACAGGACTCCTCTCCTTGTTATGGATAACATATGGTGTCTTAAGGATATGAACCTGGAAAGTAAATCTTCACTCTGAAATGTCTTAGTTAGAAATAGACAATATATTACAAAATCAATGTGGTGACCTTAAAGCACCTACAAGCACAATTTCAATATCTTGGACTTGGGCGTCCCCCAGTGGTCTACACGAAGACACTGATATGAGTGGGCTTAAAGTAACAGGAAGATCCATTTCCATTGGTTATGTCTACTTGCAAAATAAACCATAGTTATATATTTCAAAAAGCAACAAAACTACACTTTCCAGCTTGTGTTTCTTGTCTTCAAACTAAAATAAAGTACTTGATATGAAGGATTGGTAGATCTGTTGGTGGCCCCGACGAAGCATGATTTTTCTTTTCATTCACTCACGACTTAAATAACTAAACAAAAACAAAACGTAAAGGAATCGTTTTTTCATCCTATCCACCCCATGCATTCTTGTCGTACATTTTACAGTGTCTACACCCATGGGTGATATCAAGCTGATATTTTCTGACTACATAGTGGTTATTAAAATAGTTCTGCAGAAGAGAAATTAAAGAACATGATAAAGCTGCGTATGTATATTATATAAAACACTATTATTTAAAATATTTGAATGTACATGTTGGTCAGTTGATACTCTTTGCCCTGACATTACTCAGAAACAGTAACACCCCTTCCTTTCTATTAAGTTCAGATGAGGTGATGCACAAAAGCTAAAAGCAAACACACACTCTGATCTGTACAGCAATTGTTTTTAATGCAAGCTTTCAGTCAGAGACTAAAGCAGATGATCAAAGGATTGCATTAAAAACTGTGTGCAGACTGAGCAGATGGTTTTCCTTGTTCTAGTGGTGTGCCTTTGAATCACTGGAGTAGAATGAGTAAATTATATTATTAGGTTTTTACTTGGGCAATAGAGTAAGGCAAAGTAAAAAAATAACACTGGTTGAAATAACTTTGTAAAGACAAGTTCTGATTTTTAAGCAAACTAATTCACTTTACATTCACTTCATAACAATAGTTGTATCAGTTTATACGTTATTTTGTATGCAATAGCCCATACACACAGATTGCACGTACTTAACGTCACTGCTAAACGTTTTTTTTATCTGATGCATGGAGGCTTGAGACAGGCAGAGACTGCCACCTGATTTCAATTAGTGGACATTCAATCTGAGCATGTATTCCCTGCTGTGTGGAAATTAATATGATTGTAGCACATCAGGCCACAAATATCTAATATTGTTTTTTTTGCCAGTGGAGAAGCGCACAAATGGTATAATGTGGTGTGAATCTGAATCAACCAGCTGTAAAACATGTGCTTTCTCCTCCAGGAATCTGGCACATATCATTTGTGGAACACATGGGAGAGTTAAGGGGCTAACACATACAACATGACATACCCAACCATGTCTTTTTTACAAACCTTCCAGGTATCCATGCTCCCTAAAATGAAGACAGCACCAATCAAAATAATGTGTTGTTGCTCATCATGTTCCCTCTGGGCCTGGTAGACAACAATATTAAGAGTGGAAGGGATAATATAAATAGATGTTTTTGTTTAAATGTAACTCCCCCTTTAGAAAGAGAGTTAAAGCTAATAAACACATTATTAGCTTGAACTCAAAACGCTGAAAAGAAAACAAGTTGCAAAAAAATGTGTTAAAGTTTCCAATTTCTATGTTTCTCATTGACTTGGCATTATCAGTGGTATCATTTGTACTTTCATTACTAGTACCAGAAGAATCATGTAATAATTTAATGATTTTATTTGACCATCTAAATACCAAATTAAAAACATCACTGTCCCATGGTACCTCTGAAAACAGAGTCAACCAATCTTCACATAAGACTTGGATGAATGCTGCTTCTTCCAGCACATCCATCTTCATTCCTTCACGTTCTCATTGTCTTGATTTGATCTGGAAATAAAAGGAAAACACTGAATATATAGCTAAATACAGCTAAATATAGAACAAGTTGTGTAAAAACAACAAAACCAAACTGTGTAATTTATCTACCACTGTTTCTCATATCGGAGGAACCCAAATACAACATGTGGATCACCAACAGAGGAATGGATGACACTAGAGGAGACGTTTCTATGGGTGATTGGACTTCTTGTACATGCCATGAATCCAAACTGACTTTAAATCACAGAGATAAGCGACACATTATAAGGCGCCACACGTGAAGAGCTCGACGCTCGTGAACTGTCAACAGGAGGGCGGGGGAGCCTCGCTGCGGGGAAGCAGTGTGTGGACCTGTCAGCGCAACTTACATGATGCCGAATTTAACAAACAAATTTAAATAATTGGTTTAAACGGCATAATAATAAGGACGATCGTCCGTTCTCTGATTCTCCAGAACACACATGGCCAGTCTGCCCCTGTGTAGAATGTTATTTCGATGAGAGATGAGCAGATCGCCACTGGGCTTTCAACTAAAGACACAGCCACGCAAAAACTGCTGCATTTGTACAGCTCCTTATGGGTACTGCAATTTGTGAAGTGCTTTCCTCTGGTGAAACGATCAGCACTGCACCACGGAGGAAAGCGGCAGAAAGTCGCCTGGAGTTAAAGAGAGCGGGGCTGCGTTGCGTGCGTGGCTTCCTTCTGCAGGTAACGGGGAGACGCGCTCTGGCGGCGGTCTCGTTCAGGATCCGAAAATAAAATGTAAATATTTTGCACACTTATTCCTAGTGTGCCACTGGTTACGGTGGCACGCGTGCCAGGGGTTGCCGACCCCTGGTCCAGATTAAACATTTGCTCACTCAGCTATTTTAAGACTAACGTCATAGAAACACAGTAAACATGGTAAGGAAAAGGGGGTTTACATACACTTTTATAGCTATGCATTAACATACTAAATACCACCACACTTACAACACACCCAGTACTCACTGTATGATTTGATCTATGGAAGGATTTGAATGCGAGCGTTATACGTGATAGAAAGAAAAAAAACATATGTTGATGAAGTGGAACACTACACAACTACACCCAAAGGACCTCAATGGAAATAAGCTCTTGTGCATTCATTTGTTTTATCCTAAAATGTCTAATAAACTGCACTGTGGGATAAGCAGCCAGCAGATCACAATCGACCACACACACTCTCATCATACCTTGTAGCCAGTCGACTCCCTCCTGTAAACCTTCTCCTTTCAGAGCATCAGTGGCACTGAAACAAATCCACACGTCCGATTAGTAAAAACAAAAATCCTTTTAGGGCTTTTTCACATCTTTGGATACTTGTATGGAAACACTACTGCATGTATGTTCATACCAGATGTGCCAGGGTTTGTCCTTGATATTTGCCAAACACAGCAGCTGTGAGACCTTGACAGAAGACAGAGCATCCCTGACATCCATCTTGTTTGCAAAGAACAGGATGGGAATCCTCCTGTGTTTAATATCTGTAGTGAGAGGAAGTTAGTGGTATAAATCAGCAATTTCATTCTGTTGTACTTGTAAGGAACAATGTGAAATCTAGACAACTTGAGTAGTAAATATTAGATATCTGTTGTTGGCAAAAAAAAAATGTGTTGACATTTTTAAAAACTGTAACATATGAGCGTACCAGGGTGGTTTAGTAATGTGTCCAGTTCTTCTTTGGCTACTACCATCCTCAGTTTGTCTACACTATCAATGACAAATATGATAGCCTGGCCTTCCCTGAGAAAGAAGAGAAAAGAAAGAGAACATAATAATTAATATGAACATCTAACAGCAACTAGAATTGGTTTTTATGTTTCTTTAAATGCAAGAACACTCACTTGTAGTAGTGTTCCCAAAGGTTTCTGTACCTGCCTTGACCAGACATGTCAAACACTGTGAAGGACAGACTACAAGAAGAGAAGAGAGAACGCTTTTACACGCTCATTGCCATTGTATAGTTTGAATAAACACATGGAATTCTTCAATATGATATTCATTTATTTAAGTCAGAAATATACTAGTATTAGAAGATGACATAACATTTTTTGGATGACCAGTTTAATTGAAAGACCAACACATTGTTGTTTAATGATCAACAGCTACCTGGATGTCTTAAACTTCTCAATGCTGAAGCCAATAGTTGGGACGATGTCTTGTGCCTGGGCCTGGAAAAACAAACGCAGCATATTTTAAATAAAAACCTTAATAATGAGAATACATTAGAAACATCTATTTCCCGGTAGCCATTAACCTGCAAAAAATCACAAGTGTTCTGTAGATACATTTAAAGATGATTATAAAATGGATAGTTACACGCCTTGATTATAATAGGCTGAGCCATGTTTGAAGCCGTAACAAAACTCTGTAAACATACAGCTGTGACAGCAGTACATCTGTATAACGGTTTCAAACGAATTGTCACAAAATGTCAGATCACGTTGTGGATTTTGATTCTCCAGATGAGTGGCAGAGAGAGATGGGAGAACTTTGCCCCGTTTGCAGTTTTCAGAACTGGTGTGTCAAGAAAGATCTGGCTGTTTTAAAACAGTCATCAAGATAAACCAGGCTCTTTGTTACGTTGGACCAGGCCCAATTAAAACCGAATGAAATGTGAATAAAGAATTTGAATCTAAACCAGTTTTTATTGACACCTCTGTACTGTACTTAACCCATCTGTTTTGAGTGAAACATGCATACCTTAGTTATATCAGAAATACAACAATGCTACCTAAAGGTGCAATGTGTAGAAAGTGTTGGTCAGACTTACATTAGCAGGCTTCAGCTGGTTGATGATGGTGGTTTTTCCACTGTTGTCCAAACCGAGACAAAGAACATTTACCTCCTTCTTCAACCCCAGCCATGCTGCCAACTTGTCAAACAGCCCCATTTGCTAGCAAGCAACCATCAGCTGCCTGTTTGACCTACAAGAAACAGGCCATACATTATCTTAAAAGAAATGGTAACACCGGCTTATACACATATTGCAGTTCAGTTGTTTCACAGGTCTACATTAGCACCTCTATTGAAGCAGCTACTACAGAGTGACAGTTTTGCATTTCTACACTGCTATTTATTCGGCGCTGCTGACCTCCTATTTGTGAACTATATTTGATATCTTCCTGTATGTTTGTGTGCTTTTTTTGTGTTTGAGTAGCCTGTCTTCTTTCCAGCTTACATTTTGGAGGTTATGTGGCTCAAGATCTGATGCTGGCCACATCTAGAAGCTGCTTGACAACCTTCTGGATCCATCTTTTTCACATGTTCTAATTCACATTTTGTGACATGGATTGTACAACATATACTGTTATTATTTTGGTCTGTTCTGCATACTCGACATATATTGCACTTCTGTCCATCTTGGGAGAGGAATCTCCTCAGTGGATCTTCCTGAGGAATAGTTACATGCAGCCTCATAACAAAATAAAAGGTGATGTTTGATTTTACTCATTTACAATTACTTAATTGGCGTAATCTTATCCTCCAATTTGGTTTTGCTCCTTTGAATGTGGTTTTGGTTTGAACCGCATTTCCCTTCCCATTGCATAGTTAAACTGTCTAAAGCTAACCGAGTAACGTTTTCCTTGAGAACATTAAACATGGTTAATTAGCAAATACATCCAACTCCTTACAAGACATTTCACCTGATTTAATGTTAGCGATAACAGAAGGCTTTCGTGTTTATAACTGGGCATTTCAGAAAGAAACGCATTATCTCGTTGCCTTTATTAGTTAACCGTTAGCTTAGCCTAACGTGCTTAGAAGGCTCTTACCAGGTTCTAACGTCATTAACGTTCACTAACAGCTGTGTGGTTAATCTCGTTATTACTGTTGCTAGCTAGCCTCAGCTATCGTCTAGCCGCTAGGTTATTACTTCAGCTTGCTATGTTAACATGGGCATGAACTACTAAAACCTCAGGTAAATCATCCAGAACAATTTGTATCGCTAATTCTACAAGACAACATAAGACAGTGTGTAGTAAGCTGAATAGATAAACTATCGTACGCTATAGCGCTACAGTAAACGCTAACGTGATAGCTAACGTTAGCTTATATTATCCTCTCCAAAAGGGTATTGTAAAGCTGGATTTGTACCTGTACTTTTGCCTCGGGGTCTTGCTTCCAGGATGCACCTTACCGTGCCTTAATCTAGCTCATTAAATGACCAGGGTCAAATCAGTGTTTCATTCATTTCTCCTCAGCTCTTTCATGCTCTCCAGCAGCCCACAGGGAATCAACAAGTTATTTACACCGTGTTGCTGGGAGACCAGCTGACCTGCTGATTTAAGCCTGCCCCCTGCCGGCCAAACAAGGCTTCCTCCCACCTGCTGCTGTAGTAAAGGGAATGAAACAACAAAGTAAGAAAGACAGAAATAATGGAGAAAACTGAAACACAAATACAAAAAACACAAACTACAGCCCAAGTGTATGTCGAGCAAAAATAAAACTGAAGCCCTGCCATATATCAAATGCAGTCAGCTTCTATTTATTCACATGTTCTTGTTTCATTTACCAATTTTGTGAGTATTTCATTAAGCAGTGTTTGCTTTATCTCGCATTTGTATTTTAATTTATGTAAACTCCAAAGGACAATTATAGTAAAATATGGACAGGTTGAACAATTGAATATTGTTCAAATTTGTCAAAAATGACATCTTATGTCATCTAACCTACCATACTGTAAGCACCTGTTCCACAAATTCACCTGACAGTTCTGCATGTCCAGAAAACGTGTCAATCTCCTGAGTGACAATTAAGAGGACAGTTATATTGCATGTGTGTTTGAGAGAGAGAGCATGCTTCCATGGATACGTGTGCGTGTGTGTGTGTGTGTGAGATTTGAGCCTTGTGTGGTTAGAGTCTGAGAGAAAACAAAGTATTAAAATAGGATTGTTTATTAAGGAACAACCATACTGAATAAAACATACAACTTTCACAAGACTTTTTGTACAAGACATACTGCATTATCATGAGGATAGAACGTATATACATCTCTATAAAATCTTTTGACATTCAGCGGTCTTAAGCTCAAAAAACATGATTGTATTTACTATTCTGTTGATCTTTATTCCTGACGAATTGTTTCAGTAACCAGCTTGAATCTTTGTCACTAAAATCGCATACTGTACCATTGTTACCGTACCTTCTATCCTATCCACATCTTCTCTGGTCATGAGGTAACTGTCTTGAGACCAATCAAAGTCAATAGAAACCATTGGATTGTCACTTGGAAAGAGAAGAGGTATTGGTGAACACTTGAACGGACAATAGAGAAAATAAGTCCTACATTCAAGTGAATGCTAGTGGTTGCTGAGCTAATAGAGAGACCGCATTTGGCCGACGGTGACAGAGGTTGGTTGTTGTGGAGGCTCTATTGATGGTGGTCCAAACGATGATGAGTGAATTAACTAGACCATATGTGTGTCTAGCAGCGGAGCACTCCCACAGGAGCAGCGAGTGTTACCTGCTACACCTTATAGTCTGGTGTTTGTGCAATTAGTTACATGACGATGCCAAGGAAGTCGGTCTTGTTTCCGGCTCGGTGTGTCAGACACACAGTCTGTGTTTGTGCAAGGGTCTCACACTTGAAAGCCGCTCTGTTGGATGTGGTGAAGCTGCAGGCGAAGAGACTGTATGCTGCTTATGATTCTCCTCTGGTGGCCAATTAAGCAGATCCCGATACGTCTAATGTCCCTGTAGAGGAGAAGAAGTTTTGTATTAAACCTGAAACAAGCACATTATTATAATATGAACAAAAAATACATTTAGAAAGGAAGGACAACATACTGTATTGTTACACTAGCAGTTATATAGTAACACATACATATACATACTGTACAGAACATTTCTTGCTGATGGTTAAAAGTGATATCAATGTTATTACAGTTCCACCCTTTTTCTGTTCCTTTGATGCTTGTTTCCTTTTAGTGGGCTTTTTGATACTGTAGCTCAGGGGCGTCGCCTGGACCTGAAAACATTCGGGGCTTAGCCCACAGTGGCGGCGGCGCTACAGTGGAATATTCTACTGCAACACTCCCCACACGCACACACACAGTATACTCGCGACTGTTACAATGAAGGCTCGATAATCAGCTCACGGCATATAGGCAGGGGTAAAGTGCTATTTTTTATGAGTGGAGGGGGGGACCTAACATCCTCTAGGGGGGTCCGGGGGGATGCTCCCCCGGGAAGATTTTTTTTTAAATATTGAAGTTAAAAGCATCAATCTGGTGCACTTTGAGAGCAACATTAAGAGAAGACATTGAAACAAAACTGTAAACAGATTTACTTTTTCTTTAAGGATATTTTACAAATCACTCCCCTTTTAAACTCTATTCTTGTTTTACTGCCATATAGTATTTCATAACTGTTTTTCCTTTATTCTCTTTATTTTTATAACTATAATGATCATATAAACGTGTGCCGCGGAAATAATCTTTTGAATCATTTGTGACCAAACCGTTTGAGACCCACTGAGATAACTTAGACTAAAGTAAACTATCTAAACACTCAGAGAGTCCTTTAGCTCACCTGAGTCTCTCAGTCTGTCAGCAGAGGACTCCTCCAGCTTCTTGTGGAACAAACAGCTCCTTATGTCCGTTTATCAGCTAGCTAACCAGATGCTAACAACACGGTCCCTGCTGGCACCGGTCCCTCTCTCTCTCTCTCTCCCTCTCTCTCTCCCCTCTCTCTCTCTCTCTCTCTCTCTCTCCCTCTCTCTCTCTCTCTCTCCCTCTCTCTCTCCCTCTCTCTCTCTCTATCACACTAAATGCGCTATTGCCACACACACACAGAGCCGAGCTTGAATGACACAAACGCACGTTTATTTCCATGCAACTCTCTGATTGGTCTGGTGTCATGCCTCTGTTGCATTCACTGAACACGGGAAATTACATTCCTGCCGTCCTCTCTTGTGTCATGATGAGGTTCACGTAAAGCACGGTCAATGTATTATATTATTGAGGGAGAATTGTCCGGGGCTACAGAAAAAACATTCGGGGCTAAAGCCCCGGATGCCCAGGCCAGGCGACGCCACTGCTGTAGCTGCACTGTAAAATGTGGCTTCACTCACTCTATACTCATGGTTGAAATGGAATCCAGTGTTGTGTATCCTGCTGCAAGGAAGTTGTTCTTATACTGGCTCATTTTGATGGAGTCAAGCCAGTCGCCAATAGAGATGAAAAGAGGGTAGTCTGGCATGTCTTCTGGGGAGTCAGGGTAACTATGGAGACAAATAGAAAGTTGGAAATACAAGTTAACATATTGTTGATCTAAATATTTTGTTCAAATTGCCATGCCAGTGGTTTTCAACAACATTATTACAAATCATTTTCAGACACATTTCTTAAGCTGCCTTAAAAAAGGGTCAAGGTTATTGTCTGAGGTGTGGTATCAAAATGAACTTGCAGAAATTAGCATAATATGAGCCTTTAATCACAGTTAATATTGCAGCTTTTACATATATTCCCCATGTTAAACTATATTATTCTCATCTACTGACACCTCTCTATCACATTTACAGAGTCTTTTCAAGCTGTCAACGCTTAACTAAAGCAGCAGTTGGTAACTTTATTAAAATAAATGTATGGAATAATCAATTTAGCTCTTTCCGTTTAAAACTGCAAAATCACCAGTATGGTCCTTTGCTAAATGTTTGTATATGTTGATACTAACCTCTGCCCATCATTCACCAGAGCCAGCAGATTACTGGGATTAATTATGAGTTTGTCCAGGAAAGAGAGCACGTTGTTGAAGCGTGGTCTCAGGTTAGACTCCTTCTGCCAGCAGTGCAACATTAACTGGTGCAGAGTAACAGGGCAGCCCATTGGTGCGGGCAGACGATAGCCTTCTTCAATTGATAAAATGACCTGAGAGAAACATCAATGAGTTAAATACAAATGACCAATGCAAATTATTTGTAATGGTTTTGATGGTATAATGTAGTCAGCCGCTTACATCTTGATTGGACATCTCCCAGTAGGGCCTCTCACCATATGACATCACTTCCCACATGACAATGGCGTAGCTCCATACATCACTAGATGTGGAAAACTTTCCATAAGCAATAGCCTCTGGTGCTGTCCAGCGTATTGGAATCTTTCCTCCCTGACACAAAAAAAAAACACAGAAAAAACGTATTAATGAGGTGTTCAGCATTTCTAACTGTAATGAGGTTATACAGTAGTATCCTGCAGTAACTGTAACTGTAGATCCACACTCACTGTAGCAGTGTAGGCTGCTTCACTGTCATCTTCTAGGACTCTGGTCATACCAAAATCAGACACCTTGCACACCAGGCTTTCATCCACCAAGATGTTGCGAGCTGCGAGGTCTCTGTGAATGTAACCAATTTCTGAAAGAAAGGTCATGCCAACTACGATGCCGCGCAGCATGCCCACCAGCTGGAGCACTGTGAACTGTCCGTCACGTGTCTGGAGTGGTTGTGGGAGAGATAGAGAGGATCAATATGATGTATGTTGGAAAATATTATCTTAGGGAACAGGTTTACAGGTACAGTAAGATTTTTAATCTCAATTAGTCTTTGGCTCCTGGTTAAATAAAAATAAACATCTGTAACATATTTTATCCTCTCACCCGGAGGAAGGAATCAAGTGATCCATTTTCCATGTACTCAACGACGATCATTACTGGTCTGCCTGAGGGAAAGGCAAAAGACAGGAGTTAAGTGACAAATAAAGAAAAGAGACTAAAGAGGAATGAGCTGATGCTATGCGAAACACAGTAACACAGCTTACTCCTAGTGACCACTCCCTCCAGCCGGATGATGTTGGGGTTGTCAAACTGTCCCATTATTGAAGCCTCTCGCAGAAAGTCCCTCCTCTGCTGTTCTATATAGCCACCTTTAAGTGTCTTTATTGCCACAGCAATGTCCACCCTTCCAGGTATGCGCAACCGACCACTACAGACTTCTCCAAATTCACCTGTCATAAAAACAACACAATGCATTCAATGGTGCATCTGCCATATATAATAAGACTGATTCAAAATAGTATTCACAGCAACATAATGAAATTGTGAAAACAATACATGTATTGCATATCTACTGCCCATATAATTTCCTGTTCTTTGTAAAGTATAAGATAGACTTCAAGATGAGATACATGATTGATCCCAAATTGGGACATTTTAATGTGTTTGCCTGTAAGAAAGGAGGTGAAATAAATATTGTGATTCACAGTTTGTTAGTCTAAAACTTCAAAATGTAAAACAGATAATTGTGTTAACACAATTCAGTACGGACTCCTGCAGTTGCCTTGCCATTTAAAGATCTGTGGAAGACACATTGCCTCCACCAGATGGAGCCCATGTTACAGAAACTAGATCAATGGGAGGCACCATCATAATTACTCATGGGCTAAATAGCAGACACAATCTGTTAGATGTAACGATCCAGCGAACATTATTATCCATAGTCAGCAGCACTGCCTTTACAATACTATGCATTTCTTTAGAATCAGCTTTCTAAGAGTGGCTGTACAATGTTTAATTCAAACTTTATGAGGTTTCTCATAAAATAAAGATGTTACTCAACGTAAAATGTGACAATTACTCTACCACAGCTGTTTCACAACCATTTTTACAAAATGCCTGTGTAACCCTTAATAGGAGTTTAGGACATACGTAGATTAACATAATTGCATTATATAACCTCTTCTATCTGGTGTTATGTATTTCTCTTGCAAACAGGGGACCTCTGTGCTGTTCCTGCCATGAAAGCAGGAAATGCATGTACATTGCAGTATGAGTTGATGCTTGGATACATGTGTGTACGTACAGTTTTTACATGTTTTTATCCATTTTACCTGCACCAATCACCCTCTCAATGCATATGTATGAGGGTTCTATCTCTTTGGCAAATTCCTCGACAGCCTGAGTGGGGTCTTCATATGTATCTGGATCCACATAAGACTTTATCCCTGAGAAGGGGACTGAAAGAGAAGCAATGTTAAAAATAAAAGTATTGACACATGAACATTTTGCCGAAATGTCAATGTAACACCTCAGAGGTTTACAGATGTGGCACCATCAGCTCTTCTTCGTCATTATGAAAACGGAAACATGGTTCACATGATTTGTGAATCCCCTTTGTAAACACAAGACTTGGACATAATACAAGAGCACCTCTGCAACATGATGCAATCAAGTTCTATCCATCTTGATCCCACCATATACCATAGTAAAACCCCAAACACAGAGCTTAGTATACTTTCTTAAACGATTTATGTAAAAAAACAAAAAGATTTGCATTTTGCTCAACTGCATCTTCTACTCCCTTGCTCAATTGTTTGCATGCATTAAGACGTTAGTATGAAGAATACATAAATGTTGTTTATTTGTTTCATTTTGCTATGCGAGAGAAGTTGATTCAACTATATGAGTTGATAATGAATGTTGTATACTGTATGCTTGTATTATACTGTAAACATTTTCTGTCATTTTGTCAAGGCACGAAGAGAAAACACAAACAAATTGAAAGAAAGCAAAAGGGGCTTAAAAATGCCCCAGAGCAGCGTATGAAGACATTACAGGCCTCAGAATCCTCCTGGCTGAGGCTGGGACGCTGCTGCAGTGAGCACTGTGCATGATGACTGGCACAAATGATAACAGCCCCTGGTACACCTCCAGCAGATGAGCTGGGGACTAAATGTACTTTATAGCTGTGTCAGCTCCAATAGAGGGTTGAAGGCTTTGTCTAAGAAACCTTCCATTTTGGGGTCTACACTCTACCTCTGTCTCCTGGGCGTCTAAGCTCGGCTCTATATTAGAAAATGCCTTTTCTTACAGTTTGTTGAACCTGCCTAGGTGATGCCTCCACAGCACACCACAGCAACAAAGACAGACAGCAGGGAGGCAAAGGATTCTACTTAAATGATGTTGATAATATTTGAAGAAAAGGCTTTATCGTGTATTTGTATTAGAAAGATTCTTATCATTCTTTGTCATGTGTTGCAAGTAAAATAAGATGACTGATGATACGCAACATTAATATACTAAACAATAAAATGGATCTGAAGCAAATTCTATCCAACTTTAGGTACATTGTAGGAAAAGGAGAACAAATTAAGAACTGACAGGCACACAGATGATAGAGTGGTTAGATTTGTCTCAAGAGCATCACTTGTGTTCCTGCAGGCCTCAGATCGATCCTTCAATGTGTCACTGAACTGTCTTAGTAAATAACAGAACAATGTTGTGTCACCGTTCAAGAATTAAACGCCTCCCCTGTGGGGCCAATCGATTTTATCTACAAATGTAGGACCACACTCCGATCAATCCTGTAACTGTGCAAACATTACAGTGGTTACCTCCATTTCATGGAACCAATACTAGGGGAGGCCACTACACTAACATTGTTTATTGTTGTATTCAGGTTTCCAAATTGGTGTTGTCTCTTCAAAACAGGAAGATGCTGCCATTTACTGATAGATGCTTTTTGCTAACACTATAAGGACAAAAGTATTGGAACACCTACACATTACACTTACAGGAGCTTTTATGAGATCCCCTTCAAATTCATAGGCATTGATATGAAGTTGGTCCCCCCTTTGCAGCTATAACAGCTTCCACTCTTCTGGGAAGGCTTTCTACAAGATTTTGGAGAGTGTCTGTGGGAATTTTTCAGAAGAGCATTTGTGAGGTTAGACACTGATGTTGGACGAGAGGGCCTGGCTCGCAATCTCTGTTCTAGTTCATCCCAAAGGTGTTCAATGGGGTCGAGGTCAGGGCTCTGTGCGGGCAGGTCAAGTTCTTCCACAGCAAACTCATCCAACCGTGCCTTTAGGACCTTGCTTTGTTCACTGGGGCACAGTCATGCTGGAACAGAAAAGGGCCTTCCCCAAACTGTTTCCACAAAGTTTGAAGCATAGAATAGTCAATATTGACTTGGTAAAATGAAGCATTAAGATTTGCCTAGGCCAACCCCAGAAAAAAACACTTCCTTTATTATTATCCCTCCTCCACCACCAAACTTTACAGTCGGCACAATGCAGTCAGGCAGGTAACGTTCTCCTGGCATTCTCCAAACCCAGAGTCGTCCATCAGACTGCCAGATAGAGAAGCGTGATTGGTCGCTCCACAGAACACGTTTCCACTGCTCCAGAGTCCAGTGGCGGCGTGCTTTACACCACTCCATCCGACGCTTGGCATTGTGCTTGATGATGTAAGGCTTGCATGTAGCAGCTCGGCCATGGAAGCCCATGCCATGAAGCTCCCGGCGCACACTTTTGGTGCTGATATTAATGCAAGAGCTGGTTTGGAACTCTGCAGTTATTTAGTCAGCAGAGCTTTGGCGGCTTTTAAGCACTAGCTCAGCACTTTACCTCAGCACTCAGCGACCCCGCTCTGTAACTTTCCGTGGTCTGCCACTTGGAGGCTGAGTTGCTGTGGTTCCTAAACGTTTCCCCTTTGCAATAATACCACTTATTGCAAAGTGAACAAGAGAGAAGAAAACTGCAACTGCTGCAACGTGCCATCACATTACAGTACCACGTTTGCATTCAGTTAGCTCTGTAGAACGACCCATTCTTTCACAAATGTTTGTAAAGGCAGACTGCATGGCTAGGTGCTTGATTTTATATACCTGTGGCAATGGGACTGAATGAAACGCCTGAATTCAATGAGTGGTCCAATGCTTTTGTCCATATAGGTGTTGGGGAAATATTTTTCTAGGCCCATAACTTTGACCCAGTTCATCAGTTTATCAGGTTGTACTGCAGTACAAACAGTGAGGCATGCCCTCACTGAGCACAGGCCTGCAACCTTGGGCTGATGTGCTCTCAGTGTTTTCTCTCCCTATTCCTGCCTGTTGGCGTCAGCTGATAGAGGTGTTATAGTGCTCCTCCTGTTTTATCTTGTTATGCAGCATGTTGATTATTCTCTCAGAACTAGCAGAATACAGGGGTCTGGGGTAGAGCTCTTCAGAATTGGTTTTGGCAACCGCTGTGACACCTCGAAGCTCCAAATAAACCATCAGGGTTTGCCATCAAAGTTCCTGCTCTCCCTGTGTCTCTCTAAGTCTCGTCTCCATTGCTTCAGAAGTTTCCATCACAGTAGGTGCAGTACAAATCTATCTATTTTTCATTCTTATATTTTGACACTGATTTTTTTGATTAGGTGTGGACATTTATTTAGTCGATACATTTTTGTATTTTCTTTCTTAAAAACTGCACAGCACACAGAGTGCTAATCCACTTAACCCTTGTATGGTGTTCGGGTCTGTGGGACCCGGTTTAATTATTTATCTAAATAAAGCGTGTGCGTGTGCGTGTGCGTGTGCGAGACTTTTGTGTTTCTGCCCCTGACATTCCCGCACAAGGTTGCAACATTGTTGATAAATTCAAGCACCGGCACCTGTATGCTCTCACATTCCCGCATTATGTCTTGCGGGAACCAATCTTAATTTTTTTTCACATTCTATCCCAGCTGCAAATTTAGGGCGAGACCATAGACTGTATATGCGAGACACAATAAATAAAGCTTCGCCAGTTTGGGTCCTTATCACAACTGATCAAGATGGCCAAAAGATTCTCTGCTCAGAGGGCCTTGCAAATGATTTTGGAAGAGAGACAACCATTTGATGATGATGTAGACTAGAGGAAGAGGAAGATGTTTCAGAATGTGAAGATCACATTTCTGAGAATTCTGAGTCTGACAGTGACTTTGAAATAGAGGATGAGATTGAGCATCAGCTAGTTACAAAAAAAAGACAAGCCACAGGACCAGCCGGTCAGAAAAAACAAGTAGCACTTTAATTCATTAAAGGTAGGGTAGGTAAGTTTGAGAAACCGGCTCGAGATACACTTTTTGTTATATTCCATGGAATGCTCTTAACATCCCGATAGCAATGAATATCTTAAGTGCTTTGACAAAAAATCCATAAAAAAATGTCATCTGTGGAAGCTGTAATACTGTAAAAAGCACGACCAATCATTTGAGCCGGCCCGGCTAAAATAACTGGATAGCCTACCTGCCTGTCAGCCTTCCATCTGTGCACACATTTATCTCGTGCCCTCATTGGTCATGTGCGCGTTCGTGTGTGTTGGAGGAGGGGCTCTGTAAGGAAGTGGCAGATTTTCTCCGGTTGTGTATTTTCAAATTCTAGCGATCTCGAGCCGGTTTCTCAAACTTACCTACCCTACCTTTAATGTGATCTAACAAATGTAAAAGGGCAAATATGTATGTATGTATGATGAGTATTTTAACATAAAATAGTTTGATTGTGTTGAATTGAAGCCCAAAAAGGCAGCGGGTCCACCAGACCCACGAACACTGGCTGAATAACAAAAATATGAACACTACACAAGGGTTAAGCAAACAGAGACAATTAACAGTGATACAATAAAGTTATGGTTCAGCAATTTTGTATCTCATTTGGTATCATTATTAAATCGTTGAATATTATTAGATGCAAAAAAACAACAATATATATATAAACATTATACAGTATATAGGCCATTGAAAAAACGATGTTGGTCCACCAATAATGAAACCCATACAAGCTATTGTAAAAACCACATATATAAGCAGACTTACACAATAAAAACTATATTCATATCTTTAGATGTACAGTACCGTGTCCACTGCGGAAGCGAGTCCTCCTCTTCTCCTCTGACTTCATCCTGGCTTTAATGTACCCCTGACACCTGTAAAGAAGAACCACAGAGTTTGTGCCACAGAGTATTAAACACTTCATCCCCATATAAATACTCCTCTAGTCTAATGTTCATCCCAGTCTTTTTCATCACCTTCTTCTCCCTCTCAGAGGTCTCACCCTATAAATGATTTGAAATTATCAGCAGAAGACACTTAACTAACAGGTTCACTGCCCTCATGACAAAAGGTGGATAAGTGAACACTTTTTTTCCACCAGCAGAAATTGCTGCCACATCACCAATCATTTGGTTTGCAAAGACATCTCTGGCGGAATAAGTCATTCTTTAAGTAGTCATTTTTGCCCTTGCACTTATGTAATTCTTTTTTATTTACTTCCATTTCTTTGCTTTTATCCCACTCACAGTCTTACAAATTCATGGCTTTCAAGGCTTAGTCTCCATAGAGAGAAAGAGTCTGGACAAAGGTAGCTATGGAACATTTGCATCCTCCATGTAAAAAAGATACCATGTCATCATCGGATCAAAATGTGCTGATACTTTAAAACATGTGCCTTAGGAAAGTTTATATGAAAATATTTGATATGCCTGTTTAGATTAAACAAACTTTATGATATTTACACTTAAATGAACATATGTGATAGAGAAAAGTAAGTTCAAGCAGGCATTGTTACTTTTCATTTACATCATGCAGTCTGGCTCTGTACTGTTTTGTGTGGCCAATTCTTGGCAGCTGATAAGGCTAAAACAATATACAAAAAATTATTTACATCTCTGTAGTTTACTCAGGACAGGAACAGGTTTCTGACAAACAGATCTTATAAGCTGTGATGTGGTATCATATATACAGTAATATTGCCTTCAATCTTTATAACTATCAGTAATGTTCACATTTTAAGGTATGGTAATGACAGACTCCAGAAATAGCAGGAGTGTATATCCAAATAATGTAACTTCCAAGAAATTCAACCTATTACAAAAGTACATCCATTGCATATGTTGAAATAAGGAAAACACACAAATCTTCAGGATGGATGATTGCGAGATTGCATTTTGGCCTCTTTTTCTCCCAACACTGACTGTCTAACTGCATGAAACCAAAGCCCGCTCAAACATGATTAGTCAATGAAACTCAGATTATAAACAGAAGCCAAAGCGCATTCCATCACCAATTTCTTGCTCCTTTGCATGGATTTTGCATTGATATGCAGAATCTGTTTATTGACATCATCCGGGAAACACCTGCATCTTTTTTTCTTTGTGAGACAGTTCATATTATGATTTTTCAGCAAATTAAGTTTGCACATTGTGTTTTCAAATAACACTTAATCTTATACCATAATAAGGTATAAATTCAAACAAATTGCATACAGATTCTGCGCCATTATTCATTGTTTATGAATAAGTATTTCCAGTGGTAAAACCCTGTAAACCAGAGGCAGACTGAGAACAATGGTCTGAGCTAACCTGTGGAAGTTAATGGAATGCAGCAAACTGCTGGTACATGCATTACACGCTGAGTAATTAGGCAGAAAATTGGTTCAGCCATTTGGAAAATAAGAGTGTCTGGTCGGTGGCAAAAAGAGAGTCCATTAACAGCCTTCTGGTTGTAGCGTCTCTGGAGATTATGTGAAGCTGAAGTGTGTGTGTGTGTGTGTGTGTGTGTGTGTGTGTGTGTGTGTGTGTGTGTGTGTGTGTGTGTGTGTGTGTGTGTGTGTGTGTGTGTGTGTGTGTGTGTGTGTGTGTGTGTGTGTGTGTGTGTGTGTGTGTGTGTGTGTGTGTGTGTACAGTGTTAACAATGAGCCAGCCCCAAAGAGCAAGAGGGTTTTTTTACCGTCCAGTGATGAGGAGGAAGAGTGTTAGGATGACCAACAGGGAGAAGCCTCCTACAGCCGCTGTGACCACCACCAGAACTTGACCCTGATCAGCGATATCAGGATCTGAGGAGAGTCATTACAAAACAAGACCAACACAGTCAGTACGTGTTAATAAAACCAGCTGTCTGTCATAGTTTAAACCAGACAACTGACACTACTTCACGATACAAAGCTGCTGAAAATTACTAACCCAGTGGATGAAACATAATATTTTAGGTATTGTGTTGTTACATTTTAACTTTCTCTTTATTCTTCAATATATTTTAAAAAGCAATAGAAGGCAGAATATTGTATGCTTTTGCTTCCTCAGGTTTCCCTTCTTAAAATTATGAACGCAACCGCATTAATAAATAAAAGTCCAATAAAAAAACTAATTCAAATGTCTAATTATATCTCTTCTTCTGATATGAATTCAGGTCAGTCATAATCCATAATCCAGTATGTTGGATAGTCTGTAACTCCTACACATAAATAAACACGGCTTTAAACTATTCTGCATATTTGGCTGTAAGCAAACAACAAAATAGATCTATGAAAAATGAGGAGGTTGAACAGTTTAATGATGATCATTATAAGACTTTTACACTGTATTGGCGAAGTTTAAAATAATTGTATTGTGCATTTTCCCATATTATTGTCTCGCAAAAATCATCTTCAGCAGTTTATTTATTTATGTTTAACTCAAAAGCAGGGGGTAGCAGGAGATAGAAGCCAGAAATATGTATTGATAAATCCCTGACATCTCAGTGAAGTCTGTTGGAATCAACAAATGCAATTAGTAATAAAAACTCCCATTTTACATTTAAGATGTACTTTTTTAACATTGTTGGCCTTCCCCAACTGCTCGTATAAAATGCAGCGACTGTAAAAAGGAAACCTTTGAAAAAGGTCTAAATCAGTGGCACTACAGTACTACTAATGGGTAGAATAAGGTGAGAGTAGATGGCACACTTGTAGAAGCAAGATCTAAGTATATAAATGGAATTACATTAGATGCACTGGCATATGGTGGTATGAGAGTAGGTGGACATTTACATATTCATAACCTAAAGTGTGTATCTTGTAGGAGGATGTGCGTTCCTGCATATTTCAGGATTAGAATCAGCAGAGCGTAATATCTGCATCAAGAACTTACAGAGCTTATAAACATTTTAATAAATGGCTCATGCCTGAAGAAGCACTGATGAGTTCCACTGATCCATAACAGAAAATGACCATAAAATGTCTCTTGGGATTTTATAAGGTTGTTGATCATCACTGATGACTTCACATCCTTGGCTTTAACACTCTCCTGTGCATTGTTTTAAAACGCAAAACAATACATCCATTACATTTTCAACACAAATCCTACTGACTGGACGGCTGAACGTCATTGCTGTTAGTCTGAAAACACAGCCAGTGTAAACACAAACAAAGACACAATTGCCTCATGCTCACTCCCCGAAGTCATACCCTCAGCCGCAGTAGCAAACTCAAAGTTGGGGCTGTACGCTGTGTAGCCAGCAGCAGTGCGGACGCGAACGTGGAAGACATAGACAGTGGAGGGTCTGAGGCCTCTCACCACCACGCTGGGGTTTCTGGTCCGTGTCGATGAGTAGCTCAGCTGCTCTTGCTCCTAAAAAGATAAAAAGGATCAAGTTTAGGCCGGAGACACAAACAGTGATTCCATAAACCCATTATCAAAGCACAATATTTTCATCCGTTTGAGCAGATGGTGAACAAAGTCCAGAAAGCAATACATAATGGAGGCTCGGCATTTACGTACGGCTGCATGCTAACATGGACATTGTTATCTTTGTATGTAATCACTTGTGGTGCATTACAGTGCTTGAATAACTAATTCAAACCATTTAACACCAAGGAATTTACACATAAACGTATCAAAGAAACTGTCAAACTGTCTTTTAAAATATGATAAAACACTTTACCTTCTCAAAGTATTTGACTTCATAGTCCACTTTGTCTGAGGGAAGCTGTTCAACTTCTGACCAGGAGAGGGCGATGCTGTTTTCAGAGGCCCAGTCTTTCCTGACTACAGCCACCAGAGCAGGACCTGAGGGTACATTCAGAGATATTAGGGATTTCAACTCTGAAAACAACATAACGACTTATTTTGATTAGTGACTGAGTTATGTACTAAGAGTGGTGTGCCATAGAGTGGTACTCCTCCCCCGTCACCTGTCGGAGAGGTCTGGGGGTATGAGGAAATGAGCGATTCCATACATTTATTGCTCAAGCCACTGCAGTGAACTCTAAAGTGAATCTACTGACATCAGAGACACAACCACAACAGCACAGTTTCTAAAGTATATCCAGCCATCAGAAAAAAAAAAATGTTGAACAAAAAGTGTCAAAGCTCCAAACAGAAAAAGAAAAACCCTGAAATATAAAACAACTTTTGAGAAATGTAAGAACCTTGTTGTAGTTTGGAAGATAAATGGTTTTAGTATGTTTCAGGAGGGCCAAGAAAAACAACCATAACACTGTCCAGGTCCAGTTTGATGTACGGCCTGAGAGACACATTTTTGCTAACCCAACCACTAGACCTGCAGCTACGGTTTGTCATGTTTGTCATTGATGCTGAATTTGAGGGAATAATTCGGACAGCCTGCTGAGGAGACACAAATTACACAGCAGAGATTCAAATATTTTCCATCAATTATTCATAAAGCTTCCAGTTGAACAGAATATGATTTGGCAAACTACTACATCCAGTCCTTTTGTTTTCGGTGTGCGGTTTGGAGATCATTGTTGGAATACAAATTAAACCCAGGTTTATGTCTTTAACTATCCACATGCACACATAACCAGTACTAGTATACACAGAAAGCCAGAGACAGAATGTGGCACTTCAGGGAGCTGACGTTTGGCTCCATCAAGCTGAATGTGTTGGGCTTCAGTTGCGACTTAAACATTTTGACAAAAGGCCAAGATTTTCTCACAGCAGCTCAGCCTAGACACGCCCCTACACAGTCTAACAAGTCAACCGTATCGACTTGTATTAAAACAAAATGAGGGCAGAGAGAAAAATGGTGCACACGTGAAGAGAGATTTTGATGCTGACTATAGCAAATACAATTCAGTCACATGCAGACTCCTGATTTGAGTCTGTTTAAACGTTTATGAACCTTAATGTTAGTGACACAGCACCACAAAACCTTGTTATGACAACTCTTGATAACTGAATGAAGGTTTGTCATATCGAGTAATATCTTACACTTCTTACATGACTATCATTGGACTGCACTGCCTATTAAACATTTTGCCCTGTCATCCATGTTATTCCCGGTAACATGTGCCCTCTCTTTGCAGGTGGCAGCTGGTGTCTGAGCTGAACACAGCGCCTGGAGATGTTGAGGAAAACCTCTAGCCTCTGTCTGTACCTGCTGCAGTTATTAATGGCAAACAGCAGACACACCAACAACACTATACACCATGTATTGACAGAGCACTGCAGTGCAAAAGTGTACAGGCGAGGCAAAGACAAATTCAAGGCAGTTGCTTTATGAATGTCATCCCTGGCATTCCTGAAGGATTCAGAGTAATCATGACCAGCACAGTATCTGCTCAGGCATTATTCCAAAGCTCACAATGTTAAACGACAGTTCCTATAAACAAATCTAACAGCAATTTATCAAGGTGAAATATCTGACAGGTAGCTAAAAGCCATTCAGATTTTGCAGTGGATATATTTTATCATTTCCGTCTGATGATGTAGGATTATATTGCCAATACAATGGGAGCACTGTTATCCAAAACCAAACATTTTTTATTAAAAAGCTCCACTGACCATCAACAGGTTGATGACTTATTTGCTGATTATTATCATTATCAGTTTTTAATGAAGTGATATATATAGATGACTTTTTTAGAAAATGTGTAAGACCAGAAGAGAGTTCTACAGTTGAAATCAGGGTGAAACTCATGTTTTGTTATTAAATAAATATTGTACAAAATAAAACAGTTATGCATGCGATTACTTATTTCAAGTTTTTACGTTTATTTAAAGCCAAGAGAATTAATTGCTTGAAATCATCAAAATCATAAAAAACAGACTTCGAATTCAAAACGTAAAGTGAATATTTAACTCGAGTGTGTGGATGAAAATAATGGGTTCTTACATTTTTAAGCAACATTTCTTAAATTAGAAATAATGTTTTTTTTTTTTATTCTGCACCAATCTAATATGCATTGCCCACTTGGAATAACATTTCCGTGAGAATTACACTACCAGAGGGGATTTCAGTTTAATATTATGTATCTATCAGCATGTGTATATATATATATATATATATATATATATATATATATATATATATATATATATATATATATATATGTGTGTGTGTGTGTGTGTGTGTGTGTGTGTGTGTGTGTGTGTGTGTGTGTGTGTGACTGTGCTTCAGGAGTAGAGTTTTCTGTGCGTGGATATATTTTCAATGTGAGGAAACTCTCTAAACACCCTCTGAACTCTTATGTTACTTTGGGTTCATAAATCAATAAATCAATCGACTGGTTAGAAATCTGCTGCTTTGAAGCTCAAAGAACACAATTAGGGTCATTAAAGTCCAATCACCATCCACACATCAAAAGATAATTGAGAACCCAGTAGCTCTGTAGTTGATTTATTGGCAGCATGAACAAATAGGTTAACCCTGAACTACAGATGCTAAAAAAAAAAAGATGAGGGAAAGAACAAGAGAGGGAGTGAGAGAGAAAGAGAGTGAGATAGAGAGAAAGAGTGAACAGGGAGAGCTGTAAAGAATTCCCACAGGCTTGCATCTCTCCAGCATCTGAGCATATAAATAGACGTCAGCCTTATTCCCAGAGCAAAGGAGATGAAAACAAGAGAATCCACTGGGGGAAAGGGGAAAAGAGCAAATGTAAAAAGAGAGAAAATCTCCTGAATCAGGACACCACCAAACAGTGGGAAATATTTACATGTGTATTAGGCATGTGAGAAATTTGCCTGACTATTGTTGTAATTGTCTTGTAAAATAAATACTAATGTTGACCACAACCAGAGCCAAGACCATTTCTGCTTGTACTGGAATTTGAAGTTAAATACAAAAAATGGACAAATAAATAGTCAGTCATTTCCAGTATGGGATGGACTTGAGGTCCATATGAAATGTAATAAACATCTCCACAGCAACAGCTCATATGTACATTTGTATGTTGTGTAAAATCATTTGTATTCATTTTTTTTAACATTGTTCTTCAAAGCTGACTTATGCTAGAAGAGGGATTATAAAAATATGTGAGAAATTGTTGTCCTATATTTTGAGAAATAAACCTTTTAAAATATCCAATGACCCAGAGCACCAAGCCAAACTGAAGGTTTAAGAAAAAATACTGAATTCTTCATTAACGTCTGGTTGCTAACTTTCAAATCATTGCGAAGAGTCAACTATGAACTAAACCAACATTTTGATGCAACTGTAAACCTGTTATACATGTGCTAACACAAACTGTGGTAAAACAGCACCAAATGATCGACAGTACCATCAATGCCAGATACTGTGCCCAATGTCCATGTTAAAAAAAGGTCAACAGCATCTACTGACTTGTCTTTGATTGGAGGGTTCATTCATGATGAACTTGGTGCGTGAGCAGCTAGTCCAATTAGATACCATAGGCAATATACTGTATGCACACTTATGAATGTAGTAATGTGAGCTCTGTAGCAGCGTAGCACAAAGCAGTGGAGTCTGGATAAAACTGAAAGACAATGAGCACAACTCTGCAGGGATTTAATCATTCAAACCAGCAGCTGTTTAAATTAGATTATTTCAGCAAAGGATCAATACATCATTCAATCTCACATTTTGCAATTGATTTGAATCAATGAGATGTGTAATACCATTAATTAATTTAGATTGTTCAGGGCTTCACAAATATAAAAGCTAACCTGTACAACAAACATAAAACACACAGTCCAAACTTTCAGATTCTCAATAGGCACAATTTGAGCCTCTTCTAGGACGTGATCTTTTAGCTTACATAAGAATGACTTGTATCTATATTTGTGGTTATCTCTCTGCTCTTGTTGTAGGAGCACAGTTTTCCTTGGTGCAACAAACACCTTACACAAATGTTCTCTCCTCACAGAATACTGCAGTGAACTTTGTGGGAGGAACTGTGGTGAGAAACGCTCTGCTGAGCAATAACTACAGTGTATTTTGAGTGGAGTGCAGTTGGCTGTTCATAGACACACAGATCATCCTGCTCACTCCGCTCTGCGTTGCTGCCTTGAAAGGCGTTATGACAAGGGATGACCTTCATCATCCTCAACAAGCAGAACACCAGCATCCTCCTTTGAAAAGTGAGGAGGAGAGTGTGCACAAAGAGCCATTCAAAGTTATCAAATGTGTCCTCAGAGAATCTATGACAAGCTAAACAATTGAATGATAACTCCAGTATAACATATCGTAGAAGGCAATAACACACTTCATTCTGTCCAAAGAGTGATCGTGCATGGGCATTATAACCTATCAAGGTTAGACAAGCACACAGGCAGAAGGGAAGAGCACATTATTAGTAAGCCTGATTAATACATTTAGTATAATTAAAAGCATAATGAGGCATTAATATGCAATTTACAAACAGATAGCATGCCAACAGTAAACAAAGTCTCCCCCCTTCTTCCAACGAAAAATCCAGTTAATTGCTAATTCTGCTTTTGATTGGCTATTATTCTATCGTTGACATAATATCACAATCAATTACATGAATCAACTTGCAGCATCTGCCCTAATTGTAAATGAGCCAGTCCAACCCGAGTCCATCCAAACACAAGCTAAGACAGGCACAGATTTACAACCAGCCTTTCTCTCTCAACTCAATGACTGTTGCACCTCATTTGAATGTAAAGTATGTTTTGGAGTGCTTGACAAGTGTTGTGCACTTAACAGACATATGGTGCTCTGAAGAATTGAATCAATCAATAAAGAAGATTCCTTCATGTTTTCATCTATGTAGCTGATTCCATATGCACATTACTTATTCATTTATATTTTAGGAGTCGTTGAGAATATGGCACATGCATGACAC